TTTTGAGTCACAGTCTCTCTCTGTCACCTAGGCTGAAGTGCAGTGGCAGCATCACAGCTCACTGCAACCTGGACACCCCAGGCTCAGGTGATCCTCCCACCTCAGCCACTCCAGAGGCTGGAACCCCAGCCGCTTGCAAAATGGCTAATTTTAAAAAATATTTTTATCTTAAAATATTACCTGGCTAATTTTAAAAAATATTTTTAAGAGGGTCTCATTATATCGCCCAGGTTGGTCTCAAACTTCCGGCCTCAAGGAGTCTTCCTGGCCTCAGACTCCATTTGCTGGGTTTACAGGTGTGAGCCAGGGCACTTCCTAATTTTTCTTGAATAAATAAATAAATGTACATACAATTCTAACAATGCAGTAACGTTTCAAGCAAGGAACTGACAAAATGTTCCACTCCCTTTGGGAGGAACAGACCAGCACGTAAATGAAGAATTAAGAAAAATGGTCGAAATGACTGAGATGCTGAGCCTGAATGAGACCGGTGGGGACAGGTCGGGGACGAGGGGTGCCACCCTCAGATCTTTTAAAAGTCTGTCATGGCCAAGAGTGCCTAAGTTTCTCACATCCCGACTGAGGAGAACTGGGATGGGGTGGCAAAATATGAAGAGAATCTGGCTCCCTATGGAAAAAAAAGCCACTCCACACGGCGCTGTGAGGATAGCACTGCGAGTCCCTGGGGGCGCAATTACCGCGCGACCGCGGGTCCGAAGCCGAAACTCCACTACAGGCTCTAGATTAAGGCGTCATCTGATCTGTGACAGCTTAGCAGGAACCCAAGCACAACAAACAAAGGAAGTGACGTCAGAAGTCGCTCACTTGACGAGAGTAAGACCGTACAGCGCTGCGCGGCGTTAGTATTGTTCTGATTGGTTGATTTTCCCCGCTACCCGCCCTGTCAGCACCTTCTTGCTTCCGCTTGCGCGGAAGGTTTTGCCCCTCGTAAAGATGGCCGCGGAGGCTTCAGACGCCACTGAGCACGGTGCGCGTTTTCTGGAATGTTGCCAGAGAAGACAGGAACAAGCTTAGGGTAGGATTCGTGACGACCTGCATCTTCAATTCCCCAGAATAGTCTTAATTTCAAACATTTTATCTTACACATCATAAATCTCTCTTGACAGACTGTGTATATTTCAGTTGCTTTAGGCTTGCTATAATAATGTCATCTTACTGTGCCTCAGTCTTCTGCCTTTGGCTGTATTTCTCAGTGATTTATAGGAGAGTCATGACATGCAAGGAGCATGTGGCCCACATACAGTATTTAAAATTTTAAAGTTACTTATAAACACTTAAAATTCTGAAACTTTCACATAAAAATCAAGATTTCTGGCATTTGCTAGGAAAAAAACCCCAAAAACCTTGGATGACCTGGCAACACTGAGCCCACCTTCCTTACCTGAGTTACTATTTATTATGCTTATGTAGGCCTTTTTCTTACTGTGAAGAAACTACTTTTTTTAAAAAAAATCTTCTGTTAAAGTACTACATCTACAGTTTTCTTGCCTGACTCTATTTGTCATTTGAGTTTGTGACCGATTCTAGTGTGCTCTAGAGGTGTAGTAACTACACTGGTTGATGGATTCAGACATTCTGAGTTTGAATGCAGAGTCCAACCACTTAGCCTCTCTGCCTCAACGGCCGCGTCTAAAATGGGGACAATAAAAGTACCAATATACATCACAAGACTGAGTTAATAAATGTAAAATGCTTAAGACGGTGCCTGCAGTTCTAGAAAAAGAAAATGGCCTGGCACAGTGGCTCGTACGTGTAATCCCAGTGGTTTGGGAGGCCAGTGGGGGTTGGATTGTTTGAGGCCAGGAATTCGAGACCAGCCTGGGCAACATCGTGAAATCTGGTCTCTACTAAAAGCAGAAAATGTAGCCATGGTGGTGCGTGCCTGTTATCCCAGCTACCTGGGTGGCTGGGGCAGGAGAATCGCTTGAACTGGAGGTGGAGGTTGCAGGGAGCCGAGATCGCACCTCTACACTCCAGCCTGGGCGACAGAGCGAGACGCTGTCTCGAAAAGCAAAACAAAAGAAAATTAAAACAGGCAAAAAACATAAAAATAAAAGGCAGAGATTGCAGTGAGCCAGGATCACACCACTGCACTCCAGGCTGGGTGATAGAGCAAGACTCTGTCCCAAAAAATAAAACAAAACCGTAAATAAATACAAATAAATTACCCTGCCGTGATGGTGCAGAGAAGGATAACAAGGAAGGGGAGGAGGAGAAGAAAAAGGAGGCAAAGGCCGGGCGCGGTGGCTCAAGCCTGTAATCCCAGCACTTTGGGAGGCCGAGG